CAGGGTGATAAGCATGGATCTACTTTCAGTTTTCTGCAGGCAGATAACCACTTTTGCCAGGAACATTTGTTGAAGAGGCTGTCTTTTCTCCATCATATGTCTTTGACAACTTTATCAAAAATAAGGTGGGCATAGCTGTGTGGATTCATATCCAGGTCCTCTATTCTGTTCCACTGGTCTTCGTGTCTGTTTTTCTGCCAGTACCATGATGTTTTTATTGCTATGGCTCTGTAGTATATTTTGAAGTTTGGTATTGTGATGACTCTAATATTGCTCTTTTTGCTCAGTATTGCCTTGGGTATTCACAGTGTGCTTCCAAATAAACTTTAGGGTTGAATTTTCAATCTCTGTGATGAATGTCATTTGGATTTTGATGGGAATTGTATTGAACATTTAGATTGCTTTTGGTAGTATAACCATTTGTACTATGTTGATTCTACCATTCCATGAGCATGGGAGATCTTTCCACTTTCTGTAGTCTTCCTCAATCACTTTCTTTAGAGGTTTGTAGTTCTCCTTGTAGAGGTCATTCACATCTTTTATTAAGATTACTTGTAGGTATTTCATTTTTTTGAGGTTATTGTAAATGGAATTGTTTTCCTATACTCTTTCTCAATTTGTTCATTGTTAGTGTATAAAGGCTACTAATTTTTGTAAGTTGATTTTGTGTCCTGCTATATTGCTGAAGCTGTTTATGATGTCTAGGAGTTTTGGGGTAGAGTTTTTGGGTCTTTGAGGTATAGGATCATATCATCTGCAAATAGATATACTTGGACTATTCCTTTACTTATTTGTATTCTTTTTATTTCTTCTTCTTGCCTTATTGCTCTGGCTAGGAACTCCAGGACTATGTTGAATAGCAGTGTGGAGAGTGAGCATCTTTGTCTCATTCCTGACTTTAGGGGAAATGGTTTCAGTTTTTCCCTATTAAGTATGATGTTGGCTTTAGGTTTGTCATATATAGCCTCTGTAGTGTTGAGATACATTCCTTCTATTCCTAGTTTTCTTAGAGCTTTTATCATGAAGTGGTGTTGAATCTTTTCAAAGGTTTTTTCTGCACCTATTGAGATGACCAAGTGATTCTTGTCTTTGCTTCTATTAATGTGCTGTATTGCATTTATTGATTTGTGTATGTTGAACCATCCCTGTATCCCTGGACTGAAGCCAACTTGGTCAGGGTGAATGATTTTTCTGAGATGTTGTTGGATTTGGTTTGCCATTATTTTATTGAGGATTTTTGCATCAATGTTCATTATGGAGATTGGCTTATAGTTCTCCATTTTGGATGTGTCCTTCTCTAGCATTGGAATGAGTATAATGATGGTTTCATAGAATGAGTAAGGCAGTGCTCCTTCCCTTTCTATTTCATGGAAAAGTTTAAGAAGTGTTTGTATTAGTTCTTCTTTGAAGGTCTGGTAGAATTCAGCTAAGAATCCATCAGGTCCTGGCCTTTTCCTTTTTGGGAGACTCTTTATTGCTGCTTCAATTTCATTACATGTGATATATCTGTTTTAGTGGTTAATATCCTCTTGGTTCAGTTTTGGATGTATATAAGTATTTTAGAATTTGTCCATTTCTTCAAGATTTTCCAATTTATTGGAATATAGGTTCTACAAGTAGTCTCTGGTGATTCCCTGGATAGCCTTAATGTTTGTTGTTATCTCTCCTTTTTTGTTTCTGATTTTACTACTTTGTGTATTTTCCCTCATCATTTTAGTCATATTTGACAGGAGCTTGTCAAATTTGTTTATTTTTTCAAAAAGCCAGCTCATTTCATTTAATCTTTGTACCATTTTTCTGGTCTCCATTTCACTAATTATAGCTCTTATTTTTATTATTTCTCCCTTTCTGCTTGTCTTGGGTTTTGCCTCTTCTTGTTTTTCTGTGTTTGAGATGTACCTTGAGATATTTCTGTCCTTCTAATATATTGCACTAATGGCTATAAACTTTCCTCTTAGAACTGCCTTTGCTATGTCCCATAGGTTCTGGTAGGTTCTGTTTTCTTTTCTTTTTCAATTTTTTCTCTTATTCATATGTGCATACAATGTTTGGGTCATTTCTACCCCCTTTCCTCCACCCCCTCCCTTACCTACCAAGCCCCCTTCCTCTTCCACAACCCCTTACTATCAGGCAAAACTATTTTAACCTTATCTCTAATTTTGTTGTAGACAGAGTATAAGCACTAATAGGAAGGACCAAGGGTTTTTGCTAGTTGAGCTAAGGATAGCTATACAGGGAGTTGATGATAATTGCTTTCCTGTACATGTGTGTTACCTTCTAAATTAATTCTTCTCAGACTAACTGGTAGGTTGTGTTTTCATTTTCATTAGCTTCCAGTAACCTTTTAATTTCTTCTCTTATTTCTTCTATGACCAACTGACTGTTGAGCAATGCTAGCTATACAACAGACAAAGGACTGATAACCAGAATATCCAGGGAGTTCAAAAAACTAAACTCTCCAAAAATTAATGAACCAATAAAGAAACAGGCAACTGAACTAAACAGAACTTTTTCAAAGGAATAAGTCCACATAGCCAAAAAACACATGAAAAAATGCTCACCATCCCTGGCCATAGAGGAAATACAAATCAAAACCGCACTAAGATTCCACTTCACTCCTGTTAGAATAGTTATCAACAAGAACACCACCAACAACAAATATTGGTGAGGATGAGGGAAAAAAGGAACCCTCATACGCTGCTGGTGGAATGAAAGCTAGTGCAACCACTCTGGAAAAAAATTGGAAGCTTCTTAAAAATCTAAACATAGATCTGCCATATGATCCAGTAATCTTACTCCTAGAGATATACTTGAAGGAATGTGTCTCAAGTTATTACAAAAGCAACTGCACACCCATGTTTATTCCAGCACTATTCACAATAGCCAAGTTATGGAACTAGCCAAGATGTCCCACTACCAATGATTGGATTAAGAAAATGTGGTATTTATACACAATAGAATTTTACTCGGCCACAAAAAAGAAAGAAATTTTGTCATTCACAAGTAAATGGATGGAACTAGAGAACATCATCTTAAGTGACATTAACTAGTCTCAGAAGGCCAAAAAATCACATGTTCTCCCTCATATGCAGACTATACTCCTAAAACTAATACAGTAATATTATTGGATATGGGTCACACATTAAGAGAAGAATGCACACAGGAGGAATAGGGAAAGGGAAGGAAACTTAAAAATTGGATGTGGTTGATGTGCCCCCTGTAGAGGAGGGAATAATGTAATCTTAAACTGGCAGAGGCCACTATGGGAAGGGGACCAGGAAGTAGTGAAGAGGTCTGGCAGAGATGAACCAATGTGGACTGCAATACACAAGTGCATGGACGCAACACTAGAAATCTCTCTGTATAGCTATTTTTATCTCAAACTAGTAAAAACACTATGTCTTTCTTATTATTTCCTATGTTTTCTCTTCAACCTAATCTGAGAAAACAGGGCAAAATAGGTTCTGCCCATAAGTGGGGATAAGGAAGTGGCTTTGGGGGAGAGTAGGGAAGGGCGGGAGGAGGGGAGAGTTGGCCCAAACAATGAATACACATGTAAGTAAATGTAAAAGTAATAAAATAAAAGAAAGAAAAAATTAAAACTGGCCAGGCTCAGTGACTCAAGCTACTTGGGAGACACAGTACACAGATCAAGGTCTGTCCAGACCAAAAAAATTGTGAAACCCAATCTCAGAAAACAATAATTATCTATCTATTTGTCTGTCTGTCTATCTATCTATGCATTTTTTGTAAAACCAAAATAGCTAATGAAATGGAAGTATCCTGAAACACTACCTTCTTTCCAGATTACAAGAAAATTAATTCTAAGGTCCCTGACTATTTAATCTAGGTAAAGTCAATTTTTACAAATGACACATTCTCAAGTAAATGGATGGAACTGGAGAACATAATCCTGAGCGAGGTTAGCCAGGCTCAGAAGACCAAAAATCATATGTTCTCCCTCATATGCGGACTTTAGATCTAGGGCAAATACAGCAATGTTGTTGGACTTGAGTCACGTGACAGGAGGAGAGCACATACGGGTGGTATGGGGATAGGAAGAAAACACAAAACATGAAAGTGTTTGATGTCCCACTCCAGAGGAACTAACACAGAACCTTAAAGCAACAGAGGTCAACATGAGAAGGGGATCAGGAACCAGTGTAAAGATCAGTTAGAGATGAATCAAACTGAGTTGTAACACATTTGTACATGGAAGCAACACTAGGAATCTCTCTGTATAACTACCCTAAACTCAACTAGCAAAAATGCTTTGTCTTTCTTATTATGCTTATGTCTTCTCTTCAACAAAATTAGGGATAAGGGCAGAACAGTTTCTGCCTGGAAGCAAGGAGGGTTGAGAAGGAGAGGGCAGGGGAGGAGAGCAGGGGGAGAAATGACCCAAACAATGTACACACATGTGAATAAATGAATAATTTTTTTAAATGACACTATTGTAAAAAGAGTAGGAAAAATTTTTAAGGACAAGGTATGTCAGAAAAACAATTCAGATATGAAAAGGAAGTAGGGGTAAGGGAAAGTTAAGAGATAAAATGTTAAAATTTGTTCAGAAATTGCATGTAGGTGACATTATAAGGAGGCTATGATGTTGACACATTTGGATACCATTCAATTTTAATCTAGGAATACAGAGAGCAATGTAAAATGATACCATACTCAAAGGGCTAAAGGATATAATGATAAAATCTGGGGATAACTTAAGAATGTAAGGAATGAGATCGCATGAAACAGCAGCTTGTACCTGTACATTTTCCAGGATCATCTGAGCAGGACAAAGACAGGCATATACAGGTCGCTAAGATCAGATTTCCTATTTCAGCTACTCATCTGAACATCTTTTCTTTTCTGTATTAAAAACTATACAGCATGTACTTTTAAGTAAAGATCTCAAAGAGAGGGAAAAATCTGCAATAATATTTCAATATAAGTATCAATGTATTTATTGGAGAAAATTATATTAAAAATCCCAAGTGTTACCCTCATGGGAAGAAGGGGATTTCACTCTTACAAAGAACTCTTCTCAGGGCACCATGCATGTCTCTGTTCCTCAGGCTGTAGATGAAGGGGTTCAGCAAGGGAGTCACCACTGTATACATCAGAGCCATGGTAGTCTCCTTCACAGGAGAATTATTAGCTGGTGGAGTTAAGTAGAGACCAGAGGTTGTTCCATAGAATAGTGAGACCACAGAGAGATGAGATCCACAGGTGGAGAAGGCCTTGTGGAAACCCCGAGAAGAAAAGACCTTGAGGATGGAGGACACGATTCCTGCATAGGACATGATGATGAGTAGGAATGGAATGACACCAACGAACCCACCCATAACAAACATCACCAACTCATTAACCTGAGTGTCAGAGCAGGCGAGCTTCAGAAGAGCAGATATATCACAAAAAAAGTGAGGGATCTCATTGTCTTCACAGAAAGACAATCTGGTCATAAGCAGGGTGTGCAACATGGCATGGAACGTGGTCAGCATCCAAGACAGCACCACCAGGCACACACACAGCTTGGGGCTCATGATGTTGGTGTAGTGCAGAGGGAAGCAGATGGCCACATAGCGGTCATAGGCCATGGCCACAAGAAGGAAGCTCTCCAAGTCAGCAAAAAACAGGAAGAAATACATTTGTGTCAGGCATCCTGCATAAGAAATGGAGGGTACTTGGCTTTTTATGATATGCAACAGTTTTGGAATGGTCACAGAGGAAAAGCAGAGGTCAGACAAGGACAAGTTGCTGAGAAACAAATACATGGGTGTGTGGAGATGGGAGTCCAGTAGAATGAGGACAATGATGAGGAGATTCCCCAAGATGGTGATAAGGTACATGGCCAGGAACAGGACATAGAACAAGTGTTGGTTCTCTGGCTGGATGGGTAGGCCCAGGAGGAGGAACTCTGAGGTGACAGTTTGGTTCCTTTCTGTCATACTTTATCTTCAATATCTTTAAGAGAAAATACCATGGTCCCTTGAAAATCTAAATAAAGAACATATTTTCATGTTCACGTTCTGTATTTTCAATAACTGATCTCACCCTCATCACCATAATCTCTGAATGCCAAATGTCTATAATCTCTATAATTTTAATGGCTTTCCTGAACTCTCAATAACATCTTTTAGTACTTTATCATCTCCTACACTGTATATCTCATAGTTTCTCATAGGCAACTGTAATTGGCTTCTGTTCTAGGGGGTATCTTACATTTTTATGTTCTTGGATGATTTTTCAGAACCCTATACTCTTATAAATCTATATATTCTCCCAAGGAAAAATTATCTGCAACAATATCTTATAACATAAGTGTAAATATTTTACTCACCTACCAAACTCTGTATCCAGTTGCTTAATCACTGTCTTCCCTTCCGTGTGTTACAGGCAAGTTCAACTCAGTAGATTCCAAATGAAACTCATGATTGCAGTTTCCTCTCTCCCAACTTCTCATTCTCCTCTAACTTATTTAAGAGTTCTGTATTAAATCAGAAACCTTGAATTTATTTCATTCATTCCTTTTTCTTACTTTCAATTCAATTCTACATACTAATATAGATTCTCTCCTTCATTCTTCTGCTACTTCACCCATTCCTCATCATAAGACTGTGTTCCTAGAACAAGATGACACCTTTTCTTTCCTAGACTAATGAAGCAGACTCTCAATTCATGTTCTTATTTCCATACCTCAATGTCCTCAAAGCACTTTCAGTTGCTTTGTTCACAGTGTGGTATATGTAAATCTGCATATTGATTCAGGGAATTGTCTTTGGTCTTAAGACAAATATGCAGGTCCTTTCAAGGGCACAAATGATGCTTCACTACCTGATCTGGGCCTACTTCCACAGCTTCATACGTCTCAACAGAGATATATGCATTCCACTTTGAAGTAAGGCTGGGATTGAAAGTCCTTATTTCCTGCTTCTTGTCTATAACCCCCTGATGTTTTTCCTGCTGATCACTTTGTCTCCTCTATTGCCTCTTAACATGGCATCCCCCTTCATGTACGTTACATGACCCTGCAGAACAAACTTAACCTTCTCCCAGATCAAGTGAAGCCTGTTGCCATTTTCCCATAGCCTCCTCTACTCATCCCATAGCACTCAGGGTCATTGATCAATTGTTTCTGGCTTACTTCATACCAAACTGTAAACTCCATGCGTGAAAATTTGCTTCTGCCTGCATGACTGCAGCAGGGCCAGCGCCTGACATGGTGCCTGGATAGAACATTACTAAGTATATTTGTTGTTCGGTGCTTCAGCTGAGACACAAATTCCTTCATTTTTAAAGGCAGCAAACTACCAACAAGTTAGAATAACTATTCCTCTTAAATATTGCCTGAACATAAATTCAGTACCATTTAGCACTAAATGCTTACATAATTTGTCATTTATGAAAAATGATGTAGGACTTACTTCAGTAATACTAGTTACAGAAAATATAACTCTATGCTTCCATTCACATGACCTTATTGATGCCAGTGTCAAAAAACATCTGATCAGTATTTTATAAACTATGAGAAAATTAAAAAGAGGCATACATGTTTTTCAAAACCTCACCTGAGGTTTACCTCAGATGTCTATAGATATGTCATCATTCATAATATACAGCAACTTAGCTAGGTCCTGATACTAATTTTTTGTTAAATACCAGTTCTAGATAGTACCATGGAGGTATTTTTACAATGTTATTAACATTTAAGTAGATTAAAAGTACATTATCCTACATGATATGATAAGCTTCACAAATGAATTGAAGGATGTAAGAGAAAAAAATGCAGAATTCTGCCCCTAGAATTAGGATTTATCAGTATCCAGTGTTCCTTTAAAAAAATGTCCACAAAATACATACATACACACAAACATATACTCACACTATTGTGGTTTCTTGTGGACAACCCTGACTAATGAACCCCAGTATATCTCAAAACTGGCAAAGACATCTGAGGAGGTACATTAACAGATTTGGACAGCTCTTTCACTTAAACTCTATAAATGAGTCTACCCGCTGGAATCTTCACCCTGTTGATGGTGTTTAATGCAGCAGCATTAACAGTTGGACACTTGAATATTATAGTGGTGCTGTATAGAGAGAAGGAACATTTGGAGAAAATCACGCACCTTGTTTCTCCAAAACACGCTTTCCTGTTTCAGTAGGATGCATACCTCTGTAGGAATATATAGAGGGAACACAAACTAGACACACACTTGCAGGTGTCACCATTGATGAACTAATGACATTCAAATCCTTTTCAGCTGGTAAATCTGGACATCGCATCTTTTTCAACCTGAACTATCCATAAGAATAACTGACAAGTGTTTCTAACATTTCATGTACATGCAAGTCAGCTTACTTGTATAAACAGTGATGCTGCTTCTGTAGCCCAGTTTTTACACTTAAATGAACCCAGATGATGTCAATACTCTGCAACAATTTACTCAGTCAGTGGATTGCAACTTGAGGTGCAAGTATATACATTTGCCATTCAAAATATAGATTACTTAAAACTCCTCAGACTATTTAATCATCAATCCTCTGAATCTCTGTCTCAAATTTATTTATGATTCTGAGTTTTAAAGCAAAATAGAAGAAGGCTTAAAAACTGCTTCAATATGAACCGCATCCCACAGAACTGTTACTATGTTGAGACGATGATATCCTGGGAAGAATAACCTTGCAAGATGGTCAATTAGTAATGGCACCCCTCCATTAATAAAAAAGATTATGCAAGGTGGGCTATGAATCAAAAATACTTCTACAATGTAGCGGTTCTTGGGAGGCAAAAATACGGGACAAATAGACAAGGCAGTATATTATATTGGTGTTTCCTGCAGGAAACGACCATACGGCCATAGGTAAATCAAAACTCCCCATTGTGAAAGACAGTAATACGCCAAGCCCACCTTCCCTCCTCAAACTCACCTTAGGAAGCGTCTGAGGACTGACTCCTGGATGATGACCTAAGACTTGGCTCCCTTTATTCATTTACAGGCAAAGGATAGTAACAGTTCTTTGTTATTTCATGACCTTATGTCTGCCACCATCCCTTCTCACTCCTCCCTTCCAGTCAGCCATGGGCCTAAGAGGCTCTGCATCCCAGAAGAGTCCAGATCCTGGAGTAACTCATTAAAGAAAAAGCAATTACCCTGGACCTCTTTAGGATCAATTCTCTCTAGAGTCCTGTAGTGGTGACTAATTCATTATAATCTCTGATCACACCTGAATATTCTTTTGTGGAAGATGGGGATGCAGAGAAGACATGGATGGATGCTGACTCTTTGACCACTTACAAAAGGAACTGGAATTCTATGGGACAATAGCATGCTTTTTGAGGGGGAGGTGAAAATTATTGGCAAACTGCTAAAGTATTCTGAAACCACACTGAGAATTATTCAAATTACCAGAGGAGTTTAAAGGTTGGCATAAGAAGTCACTCTAGGTTTTGTAGCAGAGAGCCACCATGAAAATACATGCTTCAGAAAGATTTCCAAGCCACAATCTTTGAGTACATTTGTACAGAGGCTCTTGAAGAGGCAAACATAATAATATAAAAATAATACTTCTATGACCCATATGGGTTTATATGCCACTATATGAAAAAGAACAGGAATAAAAGCATTCCCTCAGATCATGGTCAACTTTTCCTTGGGTAAAGATAAACAAGTAAGTCCGGATTCACACCCCTTTATATTTTTAGCTCCATACATCTCTAGGAAAATATTAAAAGCACCCAACACCATGATCATCCATGCACTTTCTGTGTCAGCTTAACTCCTATGGTGTGTTCTGTCCCCTTGCCATTTATCATGCCAAAGGTAGCATTCACAACTCCTGTTTCCACTACCTGTGCCTTGCATCTGCAGTAACTGTCTTGATAAGATGCTGTTCCAGGCAATACCATGCAAACATTCATTTCTAAGCAAATTTCTTCATCCTTGTAGCTCCTTGCCTTATTGGGGTTATTATAGATTATATTGACAATTTTGGATATGGATCTACTAAGCAGCGCCTATGAATTTCACCAGAATTTCAAACCCAGTTCTCCCTGTTCAGATTCTCTAAAGTGACCAGGTTTTCTCTTGGCAATCACTATCAATCACATCAGTGAGAATGACACCTCTGATCTTTTACACTGGATTACATAAGAACCAGAAATGACTGGAAAGTAGGCTCAACATCTAATTCAGCAAAACTGGTGTTACTTCCCCTCCAAGAATATACCTATACATTCACCTCTGTAAAGTGTGCAATTAAATAGATTTTTGTAAATTCACAGTCATGTATCCATCTCACAATCAAGTTTAGAACCTATTCAACAGCTCCCAGGAACTCCTGTGACCATTAATGGCTTAACTCCATTTTCCTTGCCCTACCCAATCCCAGCCATAAGCAACTTTACTTTGTACTTTATATATTTGTGAATTGTCTATCTTTGATATTTCATATAAAATAGAATTATACCATATACACAATAGAAATACTACCAAATCTGTGGAGTAACATTTTGTGGCATTTACAAAGGTTCTTATAACGTATTAAATATATCACACTTGAATTCACCTCCTTCACTGCTCTCCTTCATCGCCCCCCCCCAATTCCTGAATAGTTTACATACATATGTACATAGTATTTGTACCATATTCACCCTCCTACACCATTTCTCCCACCTTCTTTGCCTCCCACAATTACCAAAACCCAGACAGGACCTGTTCCGCCTTCCTGTTCTCCTATTTTGTAAAAGAAAAAAATGAGATGTTTGTTTGTTTAAGATAGCTACACAGGGAATTTCCTTGTGACTTTTCCATGTATATATGTACAATAAGCCAAACTGGTTCATCTCCTCTATTTTTATTCTTTCTACCAGCTCTTAAAAATCCTCAGCAACTTGCAAAACCCAAACTGGGGGTCAAGTCTTTACATATGGATCTCTTAGATGTCA